AAGTCGAAAAGTTCGGTTGAGCAACCCAAGCGGCAACAAACTGAGCCAAATCAGTCGACATGAAACGGTACATCAAGTGCAACCAACCTGATGGATCCGAATTCAACGGCGTCATTTACATTGAATTCATCCAGAATATCAGACGGGATTGAGGAAATGGAAGCCAGTTCGAGCAGACTTGAGGCCTAAATCAGCGTGGAAGATGGGTAATGAGTGAAACGAGACTTGGAATAATAATAACAATAATGATAAGTGTTCAGCTGTAACATCCTTCCAGTGCCTAGCTGCTATGTGGCCCGAAGGAAGCAAGCAGGAGGACCGAGACACCGATAGGTTGCCCAAGCCGCAATAAAAGCAACTGAGGTTCTGAGATTGGACTCGAGCCACGGAACGTCTGGACAGTATGTTCAGGCCATTGCACTATATCCAAACTTGGAGGCAGAAAACCACACGCATAGAAGCCAGTTATTCAGCAAAAAGTGAACCCACTGGGGCTGCCAGTATGCCCGTGTACTGGTGTACCAATGTAATCGATCGACAAAAGGCTTCGGCTGGCTTCTGAAAACTCTTATTCTATTAATCAAAGTCACTGCGGTCTTAGTAGTATGCTGGGATTCGCTTGACTGTGAGTCGTTTGGCTTATACTTCGTTCTTTAGTGGCTTGTGTAACGTGATCGTTGTTTGTTTGCAATACTCCGGTTGTTTATCTACATGGTTGATTGAAACAAATGACGCTTTCCGACTGGATGGTTCTGGATCACATTGACTTCTAATTGTACACTGAAATACTGAGATGATTGATCGGCAGACCTTCAACCGAAGTTGAGGAGTTGTTGGCTGATCGTGTTGCCCTGAAATCCTACATTATCTCCTATTCAAACACAGCCAATAACAGACATTGGGCTATAGTGCTTATGCTCCAGTTGAAAACAGAATTGTAAGCCATTGGCCAAATACACTCATTTGCAAACTAATGTTAACGAGAGACTCCACTGAATCCAAACTGGATTCCTTATCTATGTGCTGTTGTGGAACAATCTGGGTGCACAGTTGTCATTCATCCCGAAGGAAGTATGATGGCTGATACAGATTAGGTTGCCGAACCCCAGATGAGAGCAATCGAAAAGTCATGAGTTAGTTCGAAATAAGGAGTTCACTGTGGGAGCTTTGTGCCTTGACCGCTGAAATGTCTAGAGCTAATTTGACCATGCCTTTCACGCAAATGTGGACAAGAAAGCCAGATCTGCTGCCAGCAGTTGGCTGCCAGCCAACAAAAGCCGAGGAAGATTACATAATCATCATCGTCATCATGAACACCATGACATTAGTATTCAACATTGATGCCTCGCTGCCGTAGTCCATGATTTACTTGAAAGTTTCATTGTGAAGAAAAGATTAAAGGTAGGCTTGGAAGGGACTTGGTACAGCTTACTACAATCAATCCGAGGTGTTTACACCTCTAGACACTCATTCAGGAAACTGACAACAAGAACGCCATTGGCATTGATTAGCAGCCATATCTTGTAGCGTCTCCAAATACGCGCAATGTGATCACGCAGTACTCATCCTGGAAGGCGAGTAGGAATTACAGAACCCAAGCGTTCCGTAATCTCTTTCACACTCCACTGCCAACTTAAGGGTTGACCACTCCTCTACTTCTGCCACTCTGAAATGGGCATCGAAAACCACTCCCTTCAGCACACGCAATATATGGCCTAATCAACGCTGCTTCCGGTGCTGGACACATTCTGCAACCCGTTGCACAAATGGAAACTCACTTTCTAATTTCCTCGTTCCAGATTCTCCGACACCAGCTCATATGAACTATGTCCTGAGACAAAGGTTATCGAAAACCTGAGTATGTTTCAGTTACGCTGCTCCAACAAACCAAGTCTCACAGCCATACAACAAAACATCCCGCACTTGTGATTCAAAGATACCCGCTTTGACGCCATAGGCGTTTCGAATTAGTAAATGCGACCCATGGCTTGCAGATTCGCGCAATGACCTAATCTATCACACTACGATGAGAACTAATACAGCTTCCAAGATACGTAAGACGCTCTGCAACTTCGCGAGCAGAGCACGAGTATGAGCTTAAAGTTTGCGGGTGCAAAGTGCATACTAAAGGACGGGATGAATTCGGTAAGTTCATCAAAAACACCTGCATCTTCTTCTCTTAGAAAACCAGAACAATATCCTTTTCGTCAAAGGCTATTTGGAAACCGGGATTTTGAAGACCTTACACAGTCCGACACCTCTTATAGATCACGGAAGAAAGACTACGTATAACAGTGTGCTGCTTGTCCGAACAAATGTAAGAAGCATCGGTCAACACACGCTTCCACAATTTTCCAGCTGAGCATTCCTTCCTCTTGGAACTTTACGCATATGGGGCTTAATTCAAATTCTGCATTCGTTTCAGTCTACCATCGGTAAACATGAGAACTCTCGCTTATCTTTCTACTCCTTCATGCCTCCAGACTGTAACTGATTGCGGTTTTTATATGACGAAACTCATCGGAATTCGCTGTGGCCCGCACCGATTTTGGTCAGTTGGGAACTCAAAAGGTGAAGATACCCTTCGAATTTCCGTCATTCTATTTACGGACGCTGGGAGTATGATGCATCATCATCATCATCACGACAGCATGACATCAGTGTTCAACACTGATGCTTCACTGATGCAAGCACCATACAATCACGGATATGAGTAAAGTAGGACAGTGAATAAACTGAGCTGCCCTGCGAGTGAATCCAACTTTTACCTGAAAGTGAGTAATTTACACACGAGTAATAAGTTCGTCCCAGTTGCCAACTGCTATTAATAAACCAAACAGGCCGCTTCGATGTCAATGAGCAAAATGCAAAATGCGTTCTCACATGTGAGGCCTATTCATGGACCGAAAACCCTTTTTAAGAGACATCTATTCACGTAAAACGGATGGAACTGGACATGGTTACAGTATATGATGCAACCAAACAATGTGTCAGAGTGATTAATTGCCTTACTTGGGACTGTCCGTAAACCCCAAGGATGTTGTCCTTTAAGGAGCTAGCAGATCCATTGGATACCACGGGGATTTTCTCTCTGTGAAACGGAGAAGGAAAAAAGTAGAACAGACGTAGAAGGTATATAGTACTGCTAATAAGACTACTTAGCTAACACACTGCAATCGAAATGACATGCGGACACAAAGCCCAACGCAGAATATACCGATGTGGCTGGATTTCAATAGTTCAGTGTGCAAAAGAATCAGTTAATTGTAAGGAACAAATCAAAATGACTGTGCATCAGCAAGAATCCAAAGTTCGTGCGTGTTCTGCAATACTCAGGATGTGATGAATGATGTGAAACAAAATTTAAAAAATCATTCAGCTGCAGCATCCTTTCGGTTCCTAGCTGCCATACCAGCCGAAGCAAACATGGTGACTGAGATACTGCCATGTTCCCCGAGCCTAGACAAGGGAAGTCGAGAGGCAGAGGTCAGGTTTTCAACTACGGACCTTCCGGTCAGTTCTAACACCTGAGCTAAACCTTTGTCTATTACTTGATATTATTGTCGTATGAGATTCTGAAAGGTTTGACAGAGCATTCTTCCTGCAAATGAAGTCAATCTGTACCGCAAAGCCAAGAGGCACTATACTGCTGTTTCTTCCTCGATGGGAATAATCAATAGTGCACATCTAACCTAACTCCAGAGAGAATCGTACGCGAAAACTCGCGGCTCACAGCTGAGGACGGCCGGACAATGTAGTTTTTAACTTGATATGGATTCCGTGATTGAATGACGAGTGGCGCGAGTAAGTCACACTGCTGATCAGCCGCCCGTGGCCGAATGCTCTTATCTTCAACTACTAGCCGGGAGGCAGCGAATTCGAATCCCTTCATTGAGTGTTGGGACCTTCGTACCCCACTTGGCACTGCCAGTCAAACTACCTGCATGTGCAACCTTAAGGACTATCGATCAGACAAAAACCGGCCTCCAGAGACCCGGTTACCCAACTTTGATACACGACAGATCCAGCTTCTTAAGCACAGTGGACCAGCGGACAACGGTGTTGTGATTATCACAATTAGCAATGGTACTATCAAGGTTAGTAACGAATTGTACCAGAGGGATTCTGCTGAATCTGACTTCGATGACCGTTTATGGCCTCATGTGTGTCAGATCCATGAAAGACTGCAGAAGCTGGTCAACAAGATCTCGAGATGAAACATCTTGATAGTAGCGAGCGACTGGAGACCTCGCCTTGGTGAGCAAGTCGACAACAAGCACCATATACCTGGCCGGTTTAAATTGAACAATCGTTGTAAAACGGCGACAGTTCCACAAAATTCGCTTTCTTTAGTCGTATCGTTGCTGGAATTAACCAATTTTTGACACTCCAGAAAACTTACTGATGTGGTATCAAAACTACAGTCGCATGGTCTCCCAACTAAAGTATGCTCTGGTGCACGCATGAAAGGTATCATCAACTGAACACTGTAATCTGATAGAGGTGCGGATTCTGGAAGGGCAAAGTCATTGTTAAAGCCATGGTTCGTAAAAGCTATGGTTAGACTCCATATCGCTGCTGGACGGCGGACTACTTCAAACAGCTGCCAAGCCACCTTTCAACCTAAACTCGGGACCTCATATGAAGTTAACTGCGAAGAAAGCCACCTTTAACCTAAACTCGGGACCTCATATGAAGTTAACTGCGAAGAACTAAGAATCGGAAATCATTGCGGTTACTGAAGAAGTGAAGAAAAAGGTCCCCACGACACCAGGGCGCCTCAATATTGCCATCAATCCCTTCCAAAGGCAGTAGAATAGTCTATTGTAACACAAGGCTTCTCTATGTCATCGGTTGCTCACTCTAAAGCATATTGGAGGGATACTACGGCGTTCAGATAGGTCCTTTAGCCTGGACAGCTTGCTCGGGATACTCTGATGACATGGTTCTCCTAGGAGGTAACTTGAAAGAACCTAAACGTGTGCTAAATAATCTGACTCTCTACGTATCACACGTAGAATTGGAAATCAACAAACCATCGAGTCCTTTTGTACGAACGCGCCTGCCAAGCCTTTTCAGGTGAGAGGTGAAAGAGTCAAGCGGGTTAAGGGTTTCAAATATCTTGTTTTACCTAAGAAGGAGAAATTCAACGGCGCATCGGCAGTATCGACATCTGAACCCCTTGCTTTCTGGGAAAGAATTAAAATCAGTGTCTCGTAAAGGAAATCTGGTTTTACAACGCAGTTGGATGTCCGGTCCTGTTTTATGCATGTGAAACGGCATTCACAAGCACAGGATGTCCGAAAACTAGAATACTTTGACCACTGGTGTCACTAACATATAGTGAGTTCGCTATCCAAGTGTCCAGTGATGAGATCCGAGAACGACTTCATGAACTACCACACTTATCTTAACTCCTTCGATGACATCTGTTGCACAGCAACGATGATGAAATCACCGAGGATCCTACACAACGTCTCGGAAGACAACTCAGTACGGCCAACAGCGATATTAGCAACTCGACCTCCACGTGACCTACGGAGTCCATCACTAGAAGCGACAGTGAATCGCTGTCTGAGTGGATCACCGTGCTATAGTAGCAGTGGATATCTCTGAAGCCAACTAATAATGTCTCAGAAGGGAATCGTTGGAAAGAAAAGGTGCAGCTGAAAGAAGAACTGATTATGAGTGGTGAAAGCCGAGTGGGAATTATTGAATTAACCTACTCGCACGAAAATAAAAACTCGGAAGATTCAAATGACTTCCCGGCATCGATGTTTTGTGTGCCAGACTACGCTGAAAAAACTTAGTTTGGTATGGAGTGATGAAAAGTTCAGGATGGAGCAAACTCACAAAAACATTTGTCCGTGTTCCACTTACCAAGCACAACCTGGTTCACTAACTTCAAACGATGTTTGGCCCAGTGTGCTTCAATCACAGAACTCATATCGTGAAGTAAAATCCCTTAGGTTTTTAACAACCTGGTGTCCAATTGCCGAAGTCAGAATTCAGGTATATTTGGAGGTGAACAACGTTCGGACGGGAAGTTCACATGTGACAAGGTAGATCGCTACCAGGGAGGCATTTCAGCTTCAGAACCTGGTGGACGACAGAGCATATTCGACTCAAGTATCAGGTATTCAAAAACGTCCTACTACCTAGACCCCGAAGTGTGACGGAGTCGACGAGGAATTCGATTTGACTGAGCAGTAGACGAATTTGCATCGACTGTCGCTAGTCACGCATGAAGAGGTCTTCAGCGGAAATAATAACGCCATCGTTCTGTTGATCTGGAAGCTATAATATGGGTAGCATCTATCATGTAACCGAAAATTCGGGTAAACTTAGAAAACAAGGAAAAAGGAATCTAGTACATCCAAAAGATCACTCTCGTATGAGGACTCTTCAATACCAAGCGCAGGCGGACTGCTGAATATAATCAGCCCAGGATGTCAACTTTGAGGTGAAATGATAAAACTAAACCGGAGAGTTTTTATCAACACCTCCCGAAAGATTCTTTCTACCACTGGTATCTACCGCATACATGCAACGCTTATGTCAGGCGGTGCTGACAAAACAGTTTGCGTCGTTCTCTACAATGATATTGATGAATTCCAACCAGGTTTTCATTGCGTCATTTTCTAAAGGACCTACGGATTCCTCTTGTCACGATAAACACCTGTGCTCCTTACTAAATCGTATACAGGGTTTTTAAGGAAGTCAGAACTACGTAACGCAATGCATAGTCTCAATGGTTTACAACCGCTTACAAACATTCTCTACAGGCGGTAGCCGTGTGAAAGTAAGAGACAAAAGCACTCACAATCGCTACCTAAGTCAGAATATGACCATCTGCTTTATCTTCCTGTCTGACTGAGTTAAAAGTTGGAAAATGAAGGAAGAAGTGGATCAATACTAACCCGTTTTTTGATATACGAACACAACTAATCTGAACTCCAATAGAGACTAGGCAGTAGGCGGTCAACAGATTGACAGTTCTGGCGAACTCCTTTGCCAGTTGAGCAGGATCCGTCAAATGTCGTCGACGAACGGGGAGATTGTGGAACAACTGATTGACGATTACTGTAGTTCCACGGGAACGAGCCAAAGGTCGACGGGCAAGGATATCTCCATTGGCGTCGAACTCCATACGTGTACCCACAGGTGCATCAGAAGCACAGGTATGCACCACAACTTTCCTAAAGGAAAATAATTAAGCCAAAAAGATTCCAAATATCTCCAAAACACAAACAATAGTGAAAAAAGTAAACTTCAGTTGAGTAGTGTTCATTGGGTTAATGTGGTGTATATGTAGTTCCACAAGGCATACAAATACCATGAAAACTTTTTTTTCAAAAAGAGTGACTCGACACGCTATCTATTGGTAAGCGGCTGGCAACGAACATGTCAAAACGGCTAAAGTTATGGAGCGACCTAACTTAAGGTGCATGGCCAAATCGGATTTTGAAAACGCCAGTGCTCCTCCACTGTGAAGTTGTGACGGGTAGTTGAAGTTTGCAATAATCCCGAACGGTGAAACGATGTGCCTGACGCATCTGTACCATTAAGATCGAATTGTTTCGACTCAGATAGCAGCCCGATGGAGGGGAATGGAATGATTGTGTACGGGAATTATTACACTATACTGTATTATGCCATATATATAATGCTATTATACTGGAACGCAAAGGAGTTGACGCATCGCATGGCACCCGTTTGGTGTGGTGCGGTAGTGCTCATTGCAACCCAAACATACGTAAGCAAACTGTGGTTCTCGGCAGGCTTCTCGAAATTTTCCCACTGATAGCACCAGTGATCTTGCGACGTATCGAATACTAGCCAACCACACCGTGTTGATAAGGTTTCACAAACGAAAAAATGGATCGACAAGGGAGAGAAAAGTCAATCGTTCTATTGTTCTTACAAAACACAAATATTTCGTTTCTGCTTTGTTCCACAGATGGAGTGAACTACTTCGAGCTACCTGGTATTGACGTTCGGATAATTAACGTCTGACATCCGAACCGGATTTATCGGCCAACAGTGGTCAAACCACTGGACGGCTGCCCATAGTACGAGAGCTACAGACAGTTTGTGCCAAGCCGAATATGGTGTTGCGCGCAATCGTTCGGCATCGAAGTAGGCCAGGGAGATTAACATTGGCGTGCGTGCGTACTTACAGCTTCTTACTAGGCTTCTTACTAGCCTAAAGACGATGACACGACAATAGGCACCTGCACCAGTTACCTTATTGACGTACATGTGTAACCCATCAAACTCCTTAAAATATCGCACCTCCCCCAAAATAGCGTCGTACAATTGTTACCGGGAGCCGCCCATTGATACATTGTCAGGGTGGTAATGGACAACCTGCAGTATTTCATCAAGCACACGGTTGATGAAGTTGTTCCCCTAGAAGGATAATTTTGGGCAGGTACTACTTAGAAAATGGAGGAATCTTACCTCGGTTCCAGATGACCACATTTTGCACTGGTTTAGTACACTGGTGACCCACAAGACTGGCCTCACTAAGGTACGTGCGTCCACATGTTTCATGGTCGTCGTTGTACTGGGTACGCTTAGCATTGCGATGCATCATGTTTCGAGGCTTTTCACTCGTGAATGCGTAGCAGTTTCGCGAGCCATTCTATTGAGTGTCAGGTCCTCTCATAACCTAAGCTGCAAACAACACTCCCAAACTTATACCGGCAGCAGGATTTCTAGAGTCCCCGATTTCGAACACCATTCTTCACCTGACCATAAATAAGTTGTTTTGGAATGGGGGGTTCATTAGTTTTAATTGTCTTCATGAAAGGGGACTCTTCCGCATCACATTGCACTCGGCTCCGACAGCGTTTTCTCTCCCTCGGACTGTTCGGAGTTCGGTCTGTCCACTTCATCCGAAAAAGTCTGCGGACTCAATCAAGGACCCGAACATGTCTCCTTTACAGCGTCCAAATCTTACCATCGTACGGTGAGGAAGACAGCACAACAAGCCCGGTACACCGCAGTCTTGGCATTTAGGCGCAAGTGATGATAATTTAAGACGTGTCTCTCAAGGCGACCAAATGCCATAGGTTTAGTTCATCATCAGGCATCAAATCTGTGTACGGTGCGCTAACAAGATAACCGAATGGCTACTGAGGAGTCTGCCCTCATCTGACTACAGCTGCGCCTGGCGGATGTTTGGGGTCGTATATCATGAGCGGGTTCTCTTCAATTGCCACCTGGAGAGACATGATAAATGACTATCCAAACTCCACAATTCGATGCGTCTGCCGGAACTACAATTCACAGCTCAGGAAAAAAGTGTTCACTAATGCTTCTGAAGGCAACTTGATACTGGACAGATCATCCTTTTTTGAATACCTTGCCAGAAGCTGAGTAGGGAGCCGTCGTAGTCAGTGAAATTCTACTGAAAATGTGTTGTAATAAATAAACAGTCCTAAGAAAGATCTACACACGATATACCAGACGGTGAAGCTCTAGGCAGCTCAGTGGTTAAGGAGAGAACTACTGACCAGAAGGTCCGTGATTCGAACCCAGAATTTGAATTTTCGATTGCTCCGTCTAGGCTTTGGTAACTTAGAAGCAGCTTAATCATCGCGCCTCTTTTGAGCCTCACGGTAACTATGCACCCAGAGTGTCACACAGTGTTGGTATTGGTGTTCTTTCGTTTATCGTAACTAGATCTGGACGATGATCCTGATGGTCGATTATGAATCCTATTTATTGTACCCCGAAGTCGAACCAAATTCCTCGTCTCTCGCTCCTCCTCCCCCTACTATTACCTTCTGAAACTCCCCTCCCTCATTGCATTGTATTCTCGAGCTCTACCACCTAAACGGTTTTTTTCGTAATAAAAAAAGATAAGCGGACGTTTATCATAGTGGGATTATTGACCTTTAAAAGGTAGCCGCTTGAAGGTTTCTGTCGTTCTATACTAATATTACTGTCTGTGATGACGACGATGAGGACAGAAGCACATCACAATGAAGCAAGTTAAATATGCAATCTGAAATAGAACTTACGCGAGTTGGCATAAAGAAGACAGTGCCTCGCCACGGAAACCGAAAGTTTGAACTGATTGCAGGTCGTCGAATTCACGCAGTTTGGAAGTAGAGTGCTTTCCAGCTAAAAAGGCATAAGTAGGGTCCTAAACCAACATACTTATTGCTTCAAAATCACGCTCGATGATACCAGTACCGTTGTCAATCACTTCAATAGATTCGCTTCCAAACTCTTTTAACCGAACATCTACATAGAACACGATTGCAGTGTTAAGGTAGCAAGTTGACAAATGCTTACCAATCTTTGTCGCCCCAGCATCAATGCTATTCTCCACCAGTTCTTTCACGGCCGAAGCAAGAGTTACAACAACTTGTCCAGAGCAGATACGATGAATAACATTATCTTCCAAAGCGTGAATACGGGGCCTCGATAGCTGGCTGGTCATAGTGCAAAGGAGAAAGGAACTAAAAATATAAGCAATTAGGGAAACCAATGAGCGAGGTTCCTCATCGAACCAGAATAAAATGCGTCAAAAGCTTGCATTCTAACCAACAGCTTTAGCCTGCCGTCAGTGTTATCAACAGCAGCGTTTAACACCAGTGCCCAATTCGAGCCCAATCGGGACNAAACTTTTTTTTCAAAAAGAGTGACTCGACACGCTATCTATTGGTAAGCGGCTGGCAACGAACATGTCAAAACGGCTAAAGTTATGGAGCGACCTAACTTAAGGTGCATGGCCAAATCGGATTTTGAAAACGCCAGTGCTCCTCCACTGTGAAGTTGTGACGGGTAGTTGAAGTTTGCAATAATCCCGAACGGTGAAACGATGTGCCTGACGCATCTGTACCATTAAGATCGAATTGTTTCGACTCAGATAGTAGCCCGATGGAGGGGAATGATTGTGTTGTGTACGGGAATTATTACACTATACTGTATTATGCCATATATATAATGCTATTATACTGGAACGCAAAGGAGTTGACGCATGGCACTAGTACCGTTTGGTGCGGTGCGGTAGTGCTCATTGCAACCCAAACATACGTAAGCAAACTGTGGTTCTCGGCAGGCTTCTCGAAATTTTCCCACTGATAGCACCAGTGATCTTGCGACGTATCGAATACTAGCCAACCACACCGTGTTGATAAGGTTTCACAAACGAAAAAATGGATCGACAAGGGAGAGAAAAGTCAATCGTTCTATTGTTCTTACAAAACACAAATATTTCGTTTCTGCTTTGTTCCACAGATGGAGTGAACTACTTCGAGCTACCTGGTATTGACGTTCGGATAATTAACGTCTGACATCCGAACCGGATTTATCGGCCAACAGTGGTCAAACCACTGGACGGCTGCCCATAGTACGAGAGCTACAGACAGTTTGTGCCAAGCCGAATATGGTGTTGCGCGCAATCGTTCGGCATCGAAGTAGGCCAGGGAGATTAACATTGGCGTGCGTGCGTACTTACAGCTTCTTACTAGGCTTCTTACTAGCCTAAAGACGATGACACGACAATAGGCACCTGCACCAGTTACCTTATTGACGTACATGTGTAACCCATCAAACTCCTTAAAATATCGCACCTCCCCCAAAATAGCGTCGTACAATTGTTACCGGGAGCCGCCCATTGATACATTGTCAGGGTGGTAATGGACAACCTGCAGTATTTCATCAAGCACACGGTTGATGAAGTTGTTCACCTAGAAGGATAATTTTGGGCAGGTACTACTTAGAAAATGGAGGAATCTTACCTCGGTTCCAGATGACCACATTTTGCACTGGTTTAGTACACTGG